GGGCGCCGGCCCCCTAGGCGGGGCGTCCACCAGCAGAACCGCCGGGGAAAACTCTGCCTGGTCAGCCGGCGTCCCCGGCGATTCCATCTGCGCCGGGGGGTCAGGGGCCTGTGGGCTGGGCGCCACTCCTCCCGCCGTGGCTCGCCGAGCCTCATCGGTGGCCTGCGTGCGGGGCCACCGCGAGCGGGGCCGCCTGAACATAGCGCTCCACCGCCGTGGAGGACCAGCGGCCCGGCCGCGCCGGCGACCCTCGCCAAGTGGCCGGCGAACAGCTGCACGATCTGGCCCTCGTGGTCGACCGTGGTGAGGGCCACGCCGGCAGCCAGCAACACCCGCCGGAAGAGCAGGACGGTCTCGCCTTTGGCCCAGGTGTTGCCCGCCGCATCCGGGAACAAGGGCCCGCCTCGGACCCAGAGGCCGGCCGCTTTCAGCCGGGACACGTGGCGCAGCGCAGCGTGTGCCGGGCACATCGGCCGGGACTGGATGCCGCAAGCGCAGCGGAGCTGCCGCGCCGTTAGCTCTCTCTCGCCACCCTGCGCCGTCTTGTGCAGGGGGATCCGAAGAAGGACCCAGTCCTCGCCGGCCTCCATGTCCTCGGTGCGGGCCGCCGCGAATTCGATTTCGCGCAGCATGAACCACACCGCCAGGAGGAGGGCGTCCGCCGAGTGCGCCGCCTTCCATGGGGCCCAAGGCTCCGCGGCGGACGCCGGCGAGGGATCCAGCAGAGGCTCCAGCCAGGAAGATCGCCTTGAGCTTGGACCCCGCAAGGCCACGTACCACCGCCTTGGCGTAACGCCGGATGGCCCGCCGGACTAGCGGGTCCACCAGCTCGCCGCGGAAGTGTTCCTGGTAGGTCACCGCCGCGTCGAAGTAGTTTTGCGCCGAGCGGTACCTGCCCTTCCGCATGCTCGCCGCGACCTTCCTGACTGAGTCCAGGGAGATCGGCCACGCCGGCAGGGCCCAACCCGCCGTGAAGTCCACCCAGGTCCGGACCCTGGACCGGAAGGGTCCCTCCGAGGAGCGCGCCATGATGGCGCCGTCGAGGTCCGCCAGCGACTCCGCCTGGAGCTCTGGCAAGGCTGCCTGAAGGGCCGTCCTCTTGCAGGCCCGCCGGCCGTCGCGCCTCACCGGGATGTCAGCCCTGACCGGCTGCGCCTGGCCCGGCTCCGAGTCACCGGGCGCTGCCGGTTGAATGCCCTGCTCGCCTGGCGGGAGGGCCAGGCGCCGGGGCTCGACTTGAGCTCTCCGGGGCCGGGCGCCACGCCTCCAGCCGAAGGACACGCCGGCCAGGAGCAGTGCGCCGGTGTTGTCCAAGGCGCCTCGGAGGTCGTGCACCCCCACCGCCGGCAGGATCGGCAGGAACTCTTGAGCCTGGATGTCGACGAAGGCCCGCGCCACCTGGGCGAACCCGCCGCCGGCCGAGAGATCAACCGCCGACATCCTTGAGCCGGGGGGGAGCTTGAGCCGCTACGACCTCAACGAACGCGCCACGACGATTAGGGTCGGAGGGGGCGGGCCGGGTAGGAGACAGCACTGCCACTTGCGCCGACTGCACACCAGGCACTCACCGCCGGGCCGACTTTTCGCGCCAGGCTATGATCCGAGGCTCTTGGGCCTCCCGACCTGCACTTACGGCACGCCGGGAAGCAACTGCAGGAACTAATTAAAGCATCGTGGGCCAGCGGCCGCCGGAGAGGCCCGCGAAGGCGTCGCGGCACCGCCGGGACCCAAAAAGAAGAAACCGGCTAAGGGCTACGCCAGGAGACCTACCATGCGGGCGATCGCCAGGAAGAGGTAGGGCTCGCCGAGGTCAAAGTAGCCCGCCGGCGGGTGGCACTAGAACCGGCCGTCACGCGTGTTCCGGTAGCGCCGGCACGCATCGCACAGGTGGTTGATGTGCGCCTCCAGGTCGACCGTGCCACCACGCCGAATGAGGACCGGGCGGAGGCATCTGCCGCCGGGGCTTTGGCAGACGCCCTCAAAGCCGGGACATGGCCGTCCACACCAGCCCACACACCAGACCTCGCCGGCCAGCCGCTCAGGGATGCGACCGCCGCGATGGTTTGGAACCAGCGAGCGGACTATGTAATCCGCTGCGCCGGGAGACGTGGGCACCACGGCCGTGGCCGCACCGCCGCCAAGCCGCGCCGGATCCTCGAGCTCCTCGAGGGCCTCCACCGAGGCGACGATGGAGGCCATCATCGCCGCCGGGACCGGGACGTCCGAGGAGGCGCCGTCCTGGTTGATCCGCCGAATGTGGTTCTGCCACTCGACGGAGCAGAGCCTGAAGCGAATGTCAACCAGCCGCCGAAAGAGCTCATCATTGTGGCGGCGCTCTGCTTCCGACGCCCCCCGGCCCGGACGCCGCGGCAACTCCGGGAAGCCCTCCCCCGTGGTCCGGTTGACCGTGTAGGTGACGCCGCGGATCTCCATGCGGACGAAGCCGGGGGGGACGGGCGCCTGGGCCGCATTGCCGGCAGGAGCCGGCTGTGCCGGGGTCCCCGCCGCGATCTCTGCAGCAATCTGGTTCTGCAGCGCCGTCATCTCCGCTGAATTGGGGGCCGGCGTCTTGGCCACCGGCGCCGGCTTCGCCGGCGGGAAAGATGACTGCTTCGCGGATGCCGCCGCCCAGGCCGCGTAGAACTCCGCCGCGGTGACAAAGTTCAGCTCCCTGGCCTGCCGGGCATCCGCCTCCGAGTTGAAGCCCTCGGAGGCCCACAGGGCGACAGGCGGGCCCTTCGGCTTTGGCTTAGCCGGGCCGCCGTCGCCGGGGACGGCTGCTGACCATCGCCGCTTCCCGCCGGCACCGGTGGAGGCCGCTTCTGCATCGGTGGCACCGGCCAGGGTGCCGGGTAGCCGGGCGCCTGCGAAGCAGCAGGGGGCTCCGGGTTGGGCTCCGGGATGGCCTGCCCCGCCGCGGCAGACGCCGCCATGTCGTTCGAGCCAGAGGCACCAGTGCCGCCGGGAGCTCCATCGTTCGACCCAGATGCTCCACCAACGCCGGGACCAACTGCCGGCGCAGCCGCCTTAGGCGGTGCCGGGTTTCCGCTTCCTGCTGTCCGGCTCGCCGGGAGCGACGCCTGCAGCATCAAAATCAAGGCACGCCTGGCGCCTGCGGGAAACTGTTGGAGGAAGGGAGCCAAGTCCTCCCCCTCCTCCAACGCCGCAAGGATCACCGCAAAGGCCGCCTCGAGATCCACCGCCGAGAAGGACATGGCAAGGCCGGGTGGAGATGCTACAGAGCGTCTGATCGCCGAAAAAGCGATGTCGAGCCGGGACAGCTGCCGGCACGACGAATCGCTCATGTCCATGCGCACACACGTGTGCTACACCACATTTCAAGACATCCGTACAGCACGCAATGCCTCCTGGACACACACGCCATGGGCCATTCATGGCCGACCGTTCTATACATTACATGAAAGGTGCAACTGGCGACTTCACACACGTTTAGCCACAAACGCTGGTCCCATTGGCAGGACCTCACCAGGGATGCCCACCAAGAGTACCGGTTCAAGGTGCGCTGACTGTCGGGTCGAGGTTCACTGAGCAGTGGAAGGACACGGTCCAAGGCTTCCTTGAAGGATTCTCCAACGATCCGGTTGCGCTGGGGACACTGCCATCCAATCCAATCTGCCTGGCAGGAACATGGCTTTGACCATGCAAGCTGGATGGCCTGCAACATCTCCAGGCTCGCCCGCGGAAAGTCCTCGAAGCATGTGGCATGACCGTAACAAATGGGACCATTGCGGGGATAGATCTTCAAAAAGCCAATGGCTCCAGAAGGACCCAACCGCTGGCCCGTGCGATGCCAACGTTTTGGACGCTGCTCACGCTGGCCGATTGACTCAAGCAATGTCACCCGACCACAGTGTGGAAAGGTTTTAAGAACATTTTGAGATTGCGGCTCTCATTAAGGACAATCGCTTGCAAAAAGTGGCAACCAGTGGTTGTAGCCGAAGGGGCTTTCCGCCACATAGGCCATGACAGTCGAGGAAACGCCACCAGGGCATGCGGCGTGCGAATCGCTGAAAGTCTGTGACTGACCTTGGAACCTGCGGAATCTTTCTGGCGCTACTCTTAGCGTCCTCGACCAGGTCAGGTAAGTCTCGAGCAGCACGAAAGCAAGCAGTGAATAAGGTGTAAACGTCTTCTCGATCCAACTCCAATAGGAATTTGCCTTTTCTGCACTCTCAAGCTCTCTGCCAAATCCTGTGGAAATTAGCTACCCAAGCGTTCTTCAAGTTCTTCAATGTCCTGTTCTGTGAGCCCTGGTAGCAAGCTATCTAAGGATTCACGAAGCATCGTTTCCCAAAAGACCTCAATGCTCTTCCAAAGTTTGCGAACTCGGTTCCTCACCTGGAACACAGGATAGTACACCTGCAAGATCTTGATCTGCAGGGTTGCCTCTTTGGCATCTTCGGTGTTCTTGGGATGCTTCGGTGAGGTACTTGTAGAAACCTCGCTGAAAGGCCGACCTTCAGTGTCAAGGTGAAGCGTTTTGCAGCACCGGGTGTGAAGCCAAAGTCGTCCAATTCTCCTCTGCATCTGCTTGCTGTAGCTGCTGGGATGCCAAGGCCAAGCGAGAAGGCTTTCTGGATCCGTCCAATGGGCACAACTGCGGGGAAGGCCGACTTCGAGAGACTTCCAGACACTTCGAGAGCTTGACTATGCGATGCTGATAATGTTGACGTTTGACACATAGAGTGCAATCTAGTGCAAGTGCGGTGACGATACATCAAACGCGCCATTGTTTCTAGAAGCATCCAGAGCTGCAGTTGTCAAGTTCAACATCATAAACCTCGAGCTGAAACACAGCAAACACAAAACCTTCCGCGAAAAATACGCATATCAAACTGCCCCTCAAACTGTTTGATTCATGCAGCAGGTTTGTGTGTCATTATGAGTTTAAATTGAGGGTCTGAACCAGAGGCAACATGGGATGGAAAACATGACCCATAGAACGTCCAAAAAGCCACGGAGCGTGGCAAACTGCTGACCTCGACCATCTCTTTCTCGGGGGAAACGCAAGTGAAAAATTCTTGACCTGGGCGAGGCAAGCCACTTGTAAACTTCGGAAGATTTTCGGATCGATCCGAAACATGTTGCAGACAAAAACGAAACCAAGCTGGTTGCGACTTCTTCCACGACGTGGTACAAGCAGGAGTTCCTCACACAGTGCGACGCTCGCTCGAAGAAAAACCCACAAAGCAGTGGCGGCCTTGACATTTCTGGGAAAGGACTTTGCAACCCGGCCTTGATGTAAATTGTGTGTAGTAGCAGTAGCAGTAGCAGCAGCAGTAGCAGCAGCAGTAGCAGTAGCAGTAGCAGCAGCAGTAGCAGTAGCAGTAGCAGCAGCAGTAGCAGTAGCAGTAGCAGTAGCAGTAGCAGTAGCAGCAGTAGCAGCAGTAGCAGTAGCAGTAGCAGTAGCAGTAGCAGTAGCAGTAGCAGTAGCAGTAGCAGTAGCAGTAGCAGTAGCAGTAGCAGTAGCAGTAGCAGTAGCAGTAGTAGTAGTAGTAGTAGTAGTAGTAGTAGTAGTAGTAGTAGTAGTAGTAGTAGTAGTAGTAGTAGTAGTAGTAGTAGTAGCACTTTCAACAGCGACGCCGAACTCTGCTGAGCACTCCGGGATGTCTTATCTGCTCTGAGCACGATCTGGGAAAACTCCGAAGGTTCGGGAGGCCCGGCAGCAGACAAAGCAAGGAATGCAAGTGCAACTAATGCCACTGGAAGCTAAGCCGCTAAGCTTCGCTCAGCTTCGCGCCTGCATGGCTTCGACCAGTCTGACGAGCAGACCGAAAACCTCAGGAGCACTCCTTGTCCATGATGCTTTCAGCTTCATGCCGGGAATTACTGTCATCTCTTATCACTCCAGAAGCTTCTTCCAAATTGCCTGCAATGCCTGCCCGGCACGCCAGCGATTCGAACTGAGGCAGGCACCCGTTGTCCATGCTGGGGAGGGAGCGGCGTATCTTTGAAAGACCTGCGAAAAAAGAGTTGCAGAGCGCTGCAGCACAGCACGAAAATTTGCCTCTGACACGACACCGACACATTGACATGCTGAGTGGACCACCCCTTCTTCTTTCCATGACCACCCTGTTCTCTGGGCCTTGCTGAGCGGTGGTCTGTGGATCGGGATCCTGGGTCCATAACGCTGAGCGCTGAGAATCTTTATGGCCCGGTCACGTTGTCTTCAGCTCGGCCGTACCAGGCATCAGCCTCAACTCTCAACCAACGGAGCACCTACTTGCCACTGTCCAAACGGTCCGCTAAGGATTCTTCGCCGGGCCAGTCCCAGATCTGGTTGGCCAGGTACACATTCATCCTCCACTGGGAATTGCTATGAAACTCTTTCGACCTGCCACACTCGCCGATACCGAATTTGGATTGCTGAGTACCATGCAACGTCGCTCGGAAGTCGCTGATGGCCATGAGCGCTTGCTGAGCGGAGCCGAGCACGTTGAAAAGCAACTGTGTATGCCCGGGTTGCTTGGTGGCCGTCCTGCCTCTCTTCGCTTGAAAGCTTCCCTGCGCATTGTGCCAACATGGAAAGTGTGAAAGCGATGCGGAAGGCTTCCAGTTGAAGGCTCGGTTTGACTCTCCGAAGCAATAGCAGCCTTTTCTAACACTGGAACTGACCATATACATACTATAAGCTTTAGCAAGTATCCTCGACTTGCTTCAACTCCGGTGCCCCGTGAACCATCTTTGCCTGATAGCGGTCTGCAACGGGAAGACCAGTGCGAAACCGACTACTGTCCACCTCAAACAGGAGGCTGCTAGAGGCAGGTCAGAGCATTCACAACCGTGCAGTAAGGGGCGCACGTAAGATTCATGTGAAGATCTGGGAACACTTCTCTATAAAAAAGCACGCTCGCCACTGCCTCAGATTCTTTAATTGCAAGTGCCGTTGCACGGGGCGCATAAATCTAATGACAGGCGAGAAAGCTTCGTTGAAGCAGGACCACTGGGTGCAACACAGTCAAATTGACGATGACAGTGTCTGGACAGGCCATTAGATGAAAAACCACAGCGGCGCTTGCACCTCGGATTTTCTCATGAGTCGATCTGGCAAACATTGGATCGATTCCGCCAACGAACTGCTACAGTTCCCCGATGCGAGCGAGTTACATTGGTCCAACAGCAGTGCAAGCCATTGCCTGTGCCAACATCAGATCGCGCAAAGCTAACTGGTTTCGCATGCGGCATCGCCTTGGCACCCACACAGAGGATGCCAGTAGCCCACGGCTTGCAAACCGCTTGAAACAGCAAGTTCCTGCGACACACATGGACAACTTTTCCAGAGGGTTCCTGTCCAAGCCATTCGCAGAATGCCTTGATATCGGTGCCGTCAAACACAACAGTCGCCCCTCTTCAAAGCAGCAGGGCACTCTGCTGAGGCCGGTAATGTTAAGAGGCTTGCTGCCACTATCTGGCAGAATCTAGCAATGAAACAAGATACAGAACCACCACGATGCCCAACCAGCAGTACGAGCTAAGTCTGCACAGCAGCTTGTTATGTCATGCAGTTGAGACTTCCTGCATTCCCGGTCGATGTGCTCCCAGATTGTGTCCAAATCGATATCATCATGCGCCAGCATCTGCTTGGACGTCCTACACAATCCTTGACTTCGTTGCTGTCCGACTGGTGCGCACGGCTCATGGCTGTCGGGATTTTGGTGTTGGCAGGTCCTGGTTCTCTTCCCATCATTCCGCGCAGCTGCTGCCTGCCCAGGGAAGAATCCAAGCCTTGCTTCTCGATGCCTCGCGAAGCCCTACCTCAGCTGGTTACAGTCGGGTTCTTCGTGCATCGTCGCTCACCTTGACAGGCCGAGTGTCAGCGAAATCAAGCCTAGCCAGTCCTCGTCAAGGCCGCGGCGAGCAAAGGATGCATTGCTGCTCTCAGCAATCCCCGGTTCACAAATATGTTCAACACGTTGCCTCTGGAAACTTGCAAACAATCATGCTCCATGATCCACCGTGTTGAACAGTTCCAGAGGTTTTGAGCCGTCGCTTATCTACCTGACAGGCCCAATGCTACGTGCAGCACCTGTGACAAAAGTCCAAATGGTCACCGCCTGCGATACCCCGCTTTGCATGTACAGCCGCTTTGGGTGGATGCTGAACCGAGCACGAACAGTGGAAGGCACACAAAGCCAGCAACGAAGAGAATACAAGATATCCTTTATGTAATCTGAAAGCCTGACAGGTCGTGACTAATGCGACTCACCTCGGGACCGTTGTAGCAGATGCCTTCCAGCGTGTGAGTTTTTGGGAAGAGCTTTCATGGCACGCCAAGCTCCCAAGAGATACCTTGATGGTCTATAGATCACACTTCAATCCTGAAGGCCCAGTCCCGATGGGAACCCCGACACTCGCAATCGTGTGTGGAAAACCTGACCGGCCTGTGTGAGACTGTGGTCCATGCAGCACCGCCCAAGATCCATGGCCTAGGGCATAAGGCAATTCTTTTGCTATCAAGAATCTGCACAGCCGTGACATACACCGACAGAAGCCGCAGATGCCGGCAGCAATTCAAGTCCAACAGGAGGCAAGGTCCCTCGCCAGATGTGCAGCACCACGACTGCAACGAGGATACCACATGGAAGCACCTTGGCAAGAGTCTCGCACACAAATTTAGGTGTCTGCAGCCCTCGGGGTTTGTTTGTCCTATCCTCTCTATCTAGAAGACTTTCTCCGTTCGCAGAAACGTTTCCTGCAATTCTGAGGCAGCAAAGGCACGTTCACTGTCCTGAAAGCCTGCCAGGGCATGGCGCATGAATCTCATGCATGTCTCCGTCCTGCCATTCTTGCTGTCTTGAGCTGCTTCATGAAATCATCGATGCGCCCTCACTTCGGGTACCAGGGCAATCAGCGACCGCAATCTGCTATCTACCAGTCAAGCAGACTGTACTCTGAGAGCAGCACTGCCTGCTTCTGCTGCGAAGGTAGTCTCACCTGAGCACCATCTAAGTCGGCTCTGTGCGTCGCACAACCTGCGAATTCCTTCACAGACAGCAATGCCTGTCACAGGAACAACAGGAATGTTGCTAAATGTGATAGGATGCTCTCGCTTCCAAGCACGAAAGATAGAACTCTTGAGTCTCCAGAGAGTAGTCCAGGCGCATACTCCAGTCCAGTGATGAGTGCAAGTACCGGCAAGTTTTGCCTGGCTGAGATCCCAGCCATATACAACATGTCCGCTCCACCACACAGAACTGCGGCGTCAGCTTCCCACAGGGCGGCGGCAACGGCTGCAAATAATTGAGATTCGGTGAGAGTGTCTGAAGAAGGCACCTCCAAAATGGACCCCCATTGTGCACAGCGGTCCCGGAGGGTGCCTGGGGCTCCCATCACAAGAAACCGCGGCTCTGAGTTGTGAAGCGCTCTATAACGGGCATCCTGACGCCTGTCTTCTGGAATGGACAGAAAAGCTTCCAAGACTTGTGGCCCATCTTTCTTCAGCAGTGGCCTTGCCGCCTCCACATCGAACCATCTGCGACGTCTCAGACTGGTGTCGTATGCGGAATGTGGATCGTGCCAAGATTCATTGCTTTCATCCTCCAAATGTTGCACATACAGTAGAAACATGTATGATCGGTTTTTCTCGGTGTCAAAGGTTCCGAGAAAGCATCCCAAAGTCCCACTCGCTCCACATTCTTCCTGGGTCTCGCGGGCGGCACAACTTGCCACCTCCTCACCGGGATCCAGGGAACCTGCCGGGAAAGTCCATTTGCCTGGTGTGTTTATGCCCTCGATAAGAAGAACCTGAACAGAACTTCCCACGGTCCATCGCCAGGGAACCGTTCCGGCACGAAGCTTTCTGCCAGCAACTTTCACAACCGAGGACTCGAGCCTTGCCTTCTTCTCTCTGGGTCCAACATTAGGCGATGCCTCCTCGCACGGATTCATCCGCCGATCCTGGCGAGCTCTCAACACTTCACACTTGCAGACACCCAAGGACCCGACACAGAGACGATTCAACTAAACCCGAAACCATGATCTAAGCCTGACTCTATACCTTAAACCCTAAACCGACCCCAAACCCAAAAGAGGGCTTGGGCCTTCGAGGGCGATGGTGCCTTACCAATTCTGAAATTCTTGCTCCGACCTCCGACACCTCCTCTCGAAGATCCGATCCAAAAATGACGGCGCAGTGATTGGAGTGAACCCGAGTCCGAAGACGAGGGGTGGCGGAGCTTGGAAAAGGGACCGAGAAAGTAAAGCCAAGGGAACCGCTTCTTCTGGGCCGCCCGCTTTGAGAAAGAGCCCGGCTGCGACGGCACTGCGGCTCCGTATCGCAATGGTGGCTTTAAAGCTCTTTGCCAAAACTTGCCATGCTTTGTCCAACACAAAGGAGCTCCAAAGTTGTAGCACGACCGTCCTGCTCCTATCTACGCATCGTCTCTGAACTTCGTGCTTCAGAGTCTGGCCCAAAAAATGCTACAAGCGGAGCCTGCACGGGCGACGAGATCAAGAAGCGGGGTCATGCATTTTGCACGAGTCCTGAAACAAACAGCAGCACTTACGCTGCCCACCCGAGTTCCTTCTAGTACGCACTGCTACGAGGATAACAAAGCATCGATGCGTGTGTGTGCGTGTGTGCGCTGACCGACAACCTCCGGCCTCCCCCCCTGCCCAACGCACTTCCCGCCCCGCCCTCGGGATCTGGTCTCCGCCGTAACTAATCAGATCCATGAACTTTGTAGGTTTCTCCCGCTGTGGCCACAAATCCTGTCAACCCATTACCTGCTAGGCTTGAGAACTGGAGAGCCCTCAATTCGCTGTGAGACCAGCGATGCAAAAATAGCTGGCCCTGTCCCATCCTCCTGCACTGTGGACATCCATCATGCACTTGTCTCTGCCTGAAATTCCGATATGTGATCGATGGCCAAAGACCGCCGATTGAAACCTGCACGTTCATCAAACAGACCGTCTGTGTACTGCTCCCGAAGACTCAAGCACATACCGGGTCCGACCTTTGTGACATCACATCCGTTACGATCGAGTGTCAAGCAAGTCTGAAACATCTGGCTTCACATGTATGACATAAAGGTCCCTTCGGTTGGAGCTAGCATGTTCCATCGTTACAGAATGCCGTCCCTGAACCCCCAGTCATAAAGAAATCGAAGGTCAGAACACACTATGTTCAGTATCCTGACCTTTGTCCGGTGAAACATGAGCCTGCCGTGATCGAGAAGTGCCTCAGCGATCTCTTACTGCTTAAGTACTACCGCTGAAGTCTCACAGCCAGGCACTCACGTTGCGGATTGGTCGTGGTTCCCTGCTTGGCATCGAGGCTTCTCACTACTACATCCACTTGTTCTGCGCATTCAACTTCCGTTCAGTGGTTTATACCCCCAAACCCGTTTAGTTCCTTGGGCTTGGATATGCTTGGATCAGTTCCGAGCGTCAAGGCTCGTTTCACTCATGAGGAACAGAACCGAACTCGAGACTGGCGGAGGCTTCTTTGCACGAACTGCGAAAGTTCAGGTGGGTGGATGGCACTGGAGGCCTGCATTCAGACGAAGCATGAAAGCAAAACCGAAATTTGACAAGCACTGCAGGAATCGAGGGCGAACACTTCAAGCAACCTGCAAGGACAGTTAGACATGGCGGTTCATCTTCGTCTGACGCTGGACGAGCCCACACTTGGGCCAAACACCGAAAAAGTGCGAGTACACTGCTGCGAAGTTTCAACAGCATGTTGGTGTTCAGAGCTAAACCCCTGAAAGGAGCGATCGTGGGCAAACCCGAAACATCCCGAAAGCAAGAAGCCGGACTCTGAAGCCGGAGAAGATGCGAAGAAGGGAGGCTGGGCCCACAAAACGAATGCTAGTTAGGAACGCTGAACACTGCCCAAAGGGCAGTAAACCCCCAAACCAGCGATTGGAAGCACAACTAGCCAGCATTAAAGCCCAAGCAAGGACAGGCAAAAACTCAAAAAGGAATGATTGGAGAGAGCAGCACTGACAGGCTGTGCCTCGGTGACTGCGTAGAGATGTCAAGCAAATCGGCACTGCTATTTTGCGCCTCACCTTTAGAGGAAGATCGCTGGAAACGCATTGCGTGTCAAAGACGTGTGCATCAAATGAAGAACTAAATGTCTGTTACGATGTTGTAAACCACAAACCTTCACAGAATAAGCAGGGAATCAAGTGAAACATTGCCACGACCTCACTGGCCTTGGCGATTGCATGTGTTGGTCACTTCGTGTACGGACAGATGTCTAAGGCACGCACGCTGCTGCGCCCAAGAAGTGAAGACAGGCCTCAGCACCAAGAATGCCATGCTGGGATTGCCCATGCCAAAGGTCTGAGATCAGCACATTGTCAACTCTATGCATCGACCTGCTAGAAGATTCCTGCGGTTGGCGCGAAGGCAGTTGCAGAGCTGATGTCCAGCCTAAACTACAAATAACGGTGTTCGCAGGCTCAGTTGGATGAGAAAAACACAAAGCACCAAGAAACCTAACCTAAGCCCTGGCCCTGACAACATCACTTGCGACTAGCATCAAGGGCTTGAAACCGTGAGAGAATCACCTCGAGGGTGAAAGTTGACTGCAGCCATAAGTTGTTGTTCAGAGGACTTGCTAGAGCATGAGTCGATTGCACCGGCAGTATGCACGGCTAGGAAGATGTGCACTACGAGCAATCGGTCTTTGTCGCATCGTCTGCTGTCACCAAGTCGTGGATTGTCGTTGAGGCCAGGACCTTGTCTGGAAACCATGAGATTCGTAGACTGTAGCAGATGCTATCTGAGCACAATGCAGCATTGACGCTGGCAGAAGAGTGGACCATCTGAAGTCCCATAGTCCAGCCAGATCCGTCTGGCCTTGAAAGCTACGGAAGACTGGTGAAATCAGCATCTTCAGCTTCATGCTGACATTGTAAGAAAGCGGCAGTCGCACCGGGTCAGCACGAACTATCCTCCTGGACCTCTCGAAGACTCATCCGACATCTTCGAAGCGACCCTGACTGGCGGGGATGGCACCCCACTGTGCAGGTGGCGATGTCATCGTCCCACTCGTGGCCTTGACAGCTTCGAAGCACACTCCAAACATGTGCCTCAGCTGAGCCCCGACACAGCTTGGGCGGAATGAGGACGAACGTACACGCCCGGTTCGCGTGAAGCCATGGCCTGCCGCTGCTGAGCTCGGGTAGAGATTGCTGGCAGCACCCAGAGTCGTCCGAGGAAAGTACTTGTAGACTTTGAAGGCATTGAAGCCAGCTATGGTCTCCAAATGGTTGTGTCGGCAGGCATCCATAAGGTCGTTCACCTGAAGAGAAGCACCAAGTCTCACCTCAATACCAAATAAATGATGAACATCGAACACCTGCCTGTGACAAAGGCCGCTCCACTGCTGCCTCCACCTTGTATTTCTCCTCAGCAAGGTGCCTGGTTCATGCTTTCAATCGGCTCCAGCATGCCCGTGACCTAACACAGCCAAGGGGCACGAGGGCGCACTTCGGAGCACCAGTCTTGGTCCCGGCCCACGCGCAAGCAACGCAAGCAACGCTTGCGCCAGCATATCGGGTCTTGAACAGCCAAGATCCGCACTGAAAAGAAGTCGCCTGCTTTTTTCATGACATCCTTGTCTGGCCTTGGCTGCACATACTCTTATGTCTGCAACTGGCATCAGCAAGGGTTGTCAAAACCGATTCTCAGAGTGCGACTCCTGCTCTGCGAATACCTCCGTGTAAATTTTCTTCTGCAGAGTGGACACCTTTTTGGCATGGAAACGAGAAAGCATACTCATCTAGTGAGTGAAATCCGAATGTCTTAGGAAGCGCAGTTCAGTAAGAAACTGCCAACACGCCGCTGCTGGGCAATCTCAGCTAACTTGCTGCCAGCCTTGGGCTCGTCTCTGGGCCTGTGATGCCGGTCCCAAATGACCAACGAAGTCGTCTTCGTCTTTGCCTGGGACCCCCCAGCATTTGATGTTCGGTCGGTCGGCAAGCAGACAAGACTTGCTGAAGTCAAAGCACCATCTCTGCCACTAGGCCAATGCCCGAGGCCGAACTCTGTCCTCGGAAGACGACCACGTCCTTGCACACTGGCAGCACTTCGTGGGTCTCTTCGTAAAACACGGTCTTCTAGACGGTCCAGAGACTCCGTCTTCGGCGTCGGTGTCACGAGAACTTGTTGGAAAGCACCTTGATATCACATGCTTCAATTCTGACTCAGGCGCGTCTTGACATAAAGAGTTGGCCTGTATCTGTACTTCCTGGCCACCGCGGAGCGCCCCGCAGAACATGGACACGGTTGCCTTTGACGAACCCATCGCAAAAGATGACTGCAAAATGTGGTGCATGGTTCGAGCATGACACCGATTTTGGAGAACGTGCGGACGCTTGTGAACAGCCGTGCCAGTTGAGGAAGATTGGCAAAGGGTGGGCAAATAACGGTTGCTGCCAATCGTGTTATGGCATACTGTATCTGTTCGTCTCAGCTTGAAGTCTGGCCAGTCCCCATTCACAGCACACCGCCTCCACTTCACCCACGCCAACAAAGCCCATACCACCTGTGTGCCCTTGAAAGGGGATGGTTCTAGATTTGGTCATCACAGGGGATCTTGTGCAACACGGTAGAACAGGTCCGGTCCGCGGTCCGTCCGATTTATGCCTCCTGTTGCGACCCATACGACGACAGCAGTTTCCTAGCACCGCAAGGCCTGCCAACTGAAGTGGAGAGTCCGGCCTTGCAACGACATCGGGCACCGCTTTCAGACTCAAATGGCGTGGCCTGCTGGACTCCTTCTCTACACGCTCAGCAGAACCGCAGAAGAGGTATTCTGCAATGCCGCTGCCAGCTCCTTGGATCACTTGCTGGTGTGACACAAAAAACTGGATTTGGCCAGGGCGGCCCGGCCTTTCTCGTAGCAGATGCATTCGAGCGGCCTCGTTTTCAGCCAGCATACACGGCAAAAGCCAGCAGCGGCCGAAGTGAAACAGTCGTGGTACTTGCAAGTTGCTTGAGATGCAGACCCGAATTTCTGCAAAAGATTTGAGATGTCCTGAACGACAACTGCAAGCACAATCGCAACCTTACATGCCGCCACCATCAGCAACATCAGAACCACGCAAGAAACAAGGAGGACAATCCTGGCCACTGCTGCAAAAAAACAGACACGTCATTGAAGTATGTCCATTCAACGCTGAACGAGCTGTCTCCGTTCTCTGCGGGCGCGAAGGTGAAACTTTCTTTCCGTTCTTCTAGCCTTCACATTTGACTGCATATTTCGTTGGGTTCAGTAAACGGGGATGATGATATTGAAAATGACAATGATCATGTTGATGATGATGATGATGATGTTGATGACGACCACCACCGCCACCATCACGACCACCAGGACGACGACCACCTCCGCCGTCGTCGACGTCGTGATGATGCAGGCGGCACTGATGACTGGGTGGGAACTTCAAGCATCCGCGTGGTCATGCTTGCCAGGACTTTTCATAGGGTAGGGTTGGAGCTCCGGGCACTTGAACGGGCCTGGGTGCAATGTTCGGAAGCCACTGAAAGCCTGACCCTGCTACCAATGCTGCAGTCACACAAACTGGCTTGTTGGATCATGTTCGGCCTCCAACGGGTGTGCAGCAGAAAGCTCTTCCATGGTAGATGCTGAGACACTCGAAACACGTTTCCGTTCACGTAAGTTCATGTTTGTCAACAAAACCACGATCATACCTGACAACGGATTTGCCGTGATTACAGCCTGCCGTCTCAATTTTCGATTTTTCCGAGCTTCCCTGGAGCATGCTTGCTGTGCCGCTCAAGCTGCAAGCTGCCAAAATTTGTTACACCGAATCAGTTGCTCCGTAGGCATCAGAAAGAGCTTGCGAAGGACGTGACACCGTGACATTGTTTCTCCGCAGGGAAACGACCGTGCCACGGAAAATGCTCCAAAGAAGAGCCGCTAAGCAGCTGAAAGGAGCAGATCTTCCCAGTGGACGTGGCCCTCATTTCCTCTCTTTGAGACGGGTGCGAGGAAGGGCCGAACAAGCTACGAGTGGCGTCATCACAGAAACATGTGCAAGACATGTTCAAAGTCCGGCACAAGGGCACTCAGAAATTTCTTTGGGCCGTGCCGTGGCACGTTAGCGCGATACGTGCACCATCTGCAAACGAGGATCGGACAAATGAAGCCAAAAGGCCACCGAACCGGAGAAGGATCCCGGGTAGCGAATTCAGGGAGGCAAGCACTGTAGCAATATGGGCATGGGCCCCGGGCGGTGACGGCAGATCTCGAAAGGAGTCATCATCAACATGTGCCGCAGTGCCCTGCATGGAACGACTGTGACATGTAGCTTCGATGACTTTGCATGTGCCGGATTCATCCTCCTTTATTGCCAGCCGGTTTTGCTATTATACGCGTTCTTGTTTAGTTCGGACTCACGTCCTGTGGTTAATACGTTTGGCGGGCACCTTTTCTGTACATTCCTGGTATGGGTTTCATTTGTCGTCGTGATAGGTTAATCTATAGAGATCTTCTTCTCACAGTTTCACTGTCGATTTCATGTTATCTATGGTCTATGCTTTAGTTTTGGCTTCTAACATGTCCTTTGTGCCGCTGGGCCATATCCTCAATTCGGCAACCTTGAAAATACCCTGTTGACCCAGCGGCACCCTTAGCAGCCCTTGGGGATGGTCCCACAATGGCGGCGCATGACATATGCTGGATCTGGGGAAAGGCAGCCCAGGAAGCTGGCGTAAGAGCAAGCCACAATGCCAGATAGACTCGCTACTGCACTGCATGATGTCTGCCGTGTTGACATAGCCCCTCTCTTGATCTTGCTTGTGTTTAGACGGTACTTCATACCAGGTTTCTAGCAAAAGGCACAACAGCCGATCACTTTTTCTTCTACTAGACACTGATGTGATGCATGTGCATAGCAAATCTCTACCGTAACCATCACCCCAACCATCACGACCATCACCACCACCAGCAGCATCACAACTACTCTGCTGGTTCAGCACATGACAACAGCAAAAGTCGCAAGTGTAAGCATGCTTGAAGAACCACCACACAACAGTGAAATGATGGCATAATCCATAAACCTTTCATGTTGTCCTCAGCACTGCAGTTGTCAGGGACGCCACGGAAAACCACCTGCTCCAGCAATAAAGCAACACAGCAGTAGCTCTTCTCCGCCTTGAACACGCCTTGTTGGACAAGCTGAGGTCACTTGTATCGCCGGCCTCAACCAAAAATTGAACAATGTCAAGAGGTTCCCAAGGGGTTTAGACAGAACAGAGCGGTGCCGCTAAATTGACTCGCTCTGTTCAATGCTCATGAATGCTCGTCGACTGGCTGAGCGAAGCACTACCATGTCAGGTGCACGGCCCCAAAAACACGTCTCTTACAACATTGAATTCCACAGCTAACCAGTTGAAAGGTTTGATCCGAAAGAGAGCATCATCTGAGGCATCCATGAACACAGCACTCTTTCTGTCAGTCCTCGATCACACTCTATCTTTTGAAGCTTCGATGTCGTAAAGTAGCTGCTAAAGCTTCCAGCAGCTGTCGTTCCGCGTGAGGTCTGCGATCATGCTGAACCTGGACGGGGCACAGCATCTGCACTACCTCGTCCGAGACCGCATGCCCATGACAACGAGAACGGCATGCTATTGGAGATTCATGAAGCAACGTCCATGAAGCCCATGCAGCCAAGTGCTTCGATGTTGGATCAGCTGCTGTGGACACGTGTTGTGAGCATCTTCGGGCCACAGTCCGTGGATACCCAAGCCACGTCGCAATCGATTCCGGGTCACGCATTCCGAGGCAATGCAAAACTTCTTGCGAAAAGAGCGGGCTCAAGCCGAATTGCCGCTCAAGGGTGGGAGCGTGCAATCTAGCCTGGTTCCTATCTCGCTGCAGCTCGGGGTTGCACAACAACCTCAACTGGCGTTCGGCTGGCTTTCCAACAACGTTGACAAACTCGGCCCAAAACTGCCCAGGAACATGACCATGCCACTGCAGAATTTCTGATGCCACCACTGCCTGGCCTGATTCTTGCATATCTGAAGAAGATTGCCTCATGAGTTGTCCCGGTTGCTGCTGGACGACGGATGCAAGTTGATCCTTGGCCCATCTAGTCAAAGCTTCCAGGCACGGCATGACCTGAATTCCAGAGTAGCCAGCCTCGGCTACGTCCAGTGCTGCCTTCAAAGTGACAGGATCCGAACACCCTGTCAAGGCAACATCGAGGACAGACTGCAGCAGAGCTCCTGCTCTGTTGTGCTCTGTGGCTTGCTGGCACGCGGATGCGGCCAAGTTCGTGGCAATTCCGGTGGGAAGTCTTAAGGACCCCAGCTGGTGAAGGACATGCAGTGACAGCTCCCACGCTTGGCCAGAAGCACAAGCTTCAAGCATGCCGTGAAAGGTCGTAAGATCGGGCACGAGGCTTCGATGTGACATGTCCTGCAATAAAGCGAGTGCCTGTCGCCAACTCTCCTTTTGCTTGCAAGAGCCGAGGACGGCGTTGTAGGAAATCACATCCGGAAAACGACCCGAAGAACGCTCAGAAGATGAGAATGAGGAGCTCAGCACAGCCAGAGCCGCCCTCCAGTTCTGCACTTTGGAACAGCTGGAGATGGCCACGTTGAAGGCGGTGGGGTCGGGATCTGGCAGCACGGATTCTCCTACGGCCTCGAAAAGCACGGCGATCGCTTCTTGCCACTTCAAGCCGGCTTCGCAAGCCGACATGACCGTTGTGAGCGTCACCACGTCAGCTTGCAGGGCGCCTGCTGTTGAAAACAAGGATAGTGCCCTTTCCCACTCATGGCTTGAAGCACATGCTCCCAGGACGGGGTTCAGAAGTCCACTCTCGCTCCAATCTGAATTCGGCACGATGCAAAGAAGGCTTAGCGCCGCTTCCCAGCATCCAGAGGATTGGCATGCACGCAATGTAGCAGCAAATGAAATCTCACTAGGCTGCACCACTTGCTCAACAATCATCATCAAGGTAGAGATGGCCATTTGCCAGGCCCGGCCCTTCTCCCACGCTGAAATAAGAACTCCCAGGAAGACCTCGTCAGGTTTTAGGTGTACACTCTCTGCTCGTGCACAAATCGCTACCGCAGCTTGCCATGCACTGCTCTTCTCGCAGGTACTGGCAGCAATGCTGTAGCTTGCAATATCACACATGGCACTTGCATTCAGCATGTGGATGGATAGCGGCCATTGAAGCTCAGCTTCCAAAACACCCAATAACGCATTGATTGATTTCGAGGTCGGAGTGACCTTTGAGGCTGGCATCATTGAGTACAGAATGTGAAAAGCATGCTGCCACCCTAGCGCATGCCGGCAAGTCCGCAAAAGCACGTCGTATGTGACAGATGTCGGTGCCACAGAGGCATGGAACATGTCTGCAAGCATGTCAAACACCATCTCCCAATTTCCCGATCTTTCCAGACCACCAAGAACAGTCGAGTAAACGATGACATTTGGCAGAATCAGTGATGCACCCATCCTGATCATGATCCCCAATGCCGCTTGCCACAATGATCCTCTCTCGGCCGAACTGATGGCAGCACTGAACACTACCACGTTGGGTGTGCAAGAGGCCTCCACATCTTGCAACAGTTGCAAGCTACACTCCCACTTGCTGGCACGGCCGCAGGTTGTCATTGCGGTTGCGACAGGCACTTGCCAATTACCCGCCTTGCCGGTCCCGGCACTCATCCCAAACGACTGCAGCAGGTACAAGGCCCATTTCCACTGCCCTGCCGTGTCACATGCCGAGACTGCAGCTCCACATGCAAATGCATCGACATCTAGCTTCCTGCCCATCATAGATCGAAGGAAAACTAGGCATGCCGGCCAGTCCCCAAGCCGAGTGCATCCCTGCATGATGGCTGTAAAGCTTCGTGCATCTGTTTGCAGGAGGCTGTTCTCAGCACACATCAAAGTGGCCAAGGCCAGTTGCCAGGACAATGCAGGAACTTTGCTAGCACAAGCAGCGCAAGCTGTTGCTGCCGAGTTGTAGGAGACGATGTCTGCTTGAAGTGACCACTCGAAGGCATGAACTGCCAAACTGAGTGCTGCCTGCCACCTCGCAGCTCGTTGGCAGGCGGAAATCACGGAGTTGAGCAAGATCACGTTGAGTTTGATGCTGTCCCCGGCTGCCTGAACCAACAAACCCAAGCTTTCCTGCCAGGCTTTCCGACGTCCAAGAGCCGCCATGACAACCCCGAACTCCTGACAGCAGTCTCTTAGCTGGCAGAGTGCCTAACAATGACAGGCACAACACAGGCACAAGAGGCGGGTCCTCGCCTTCGCAGACCTCGCCGACGGCGGAGTTGGCGCCTCATTCTGCGAGAAGAGCTCCACCTCCGACTTCCACGCCGACAATGGCAATAGGGCGCCCAATTGTCTACTCTGAGCGAGAAGACTGAAGACTTTCCCAGGCCTTGTTTCGCAACACGTCCTTTGCATGCATCCGCAGAGGACACACCGGCGCAAGTTAATTCCACATGCTGAGCCTGGCGAACAATGAAAACTCAAGTCAGCTTGCAAGCTGTTCTCCAGCATGTACTTGAATTCCAGCACGGGCGATTCTGTTTTTGTAACGTGCTACGCCTCAGGCGGATGGCATTCAACCAGCACCTGAGAATCCATGACTTGTGAAACCAAGCCACTTCGCCAACTGAGAAACAGATGTGCCTGTTCAGTAGTTCCTTACTTCCAGTTGCCCTACTGTAGAGGCTGTAGCAGTTGCGGATAAAGACTCACCCGATGGCTAGTTGTGAAACAAAGCCGTGCGTCTTGCACAGCCCTTGGAACTACGGCAACGCCAATGTCATGGGCATCATTCAGCTCTCAATCGACTGCACCTCCTGCATACTATGGTTCAACAGCTCTGGTCAAGCGAGAAAGCAGCCAATGCGGTCCTGCGCATGAGCAAACCTCAGCCAATCGACACATGCTGTAGATTCTTTAGATCCAGCCCTGCTGATGTCAAGGCCTAAACTCGACCAAGGAGCAAGTACTGTGCCAGAAACTCGATTGGGTCTTCCGGCTGTTCCTTGCAAACCTGACAGGACACGACCGAAACGGCTGTACTCCGACTCAGAAACTGGAGCTGAATGCGGAAGCCGGCAGAAGGCCGATTTACAAAACGAGTAACCCAACCCTCTTTGAAAAACTGATTGCTGCGAGTTGGCACACATGGAAGCAACTAACGCGAACTCTGAAACCGGCACGAACAGATTGCATCCGAACTGAACTGGACGGTCGATCCAGCATCGTAGTACCATTTGGGATCTTAATATCACTCACAGGGCAAATCTGGGGCTTGAGAACAGAACACCCGCCTCGGTAAGGCCAGCTGTAAGAGTTGGAACAACATGCGCCCTGGCAGTCGGCAGTCCCAGCTCGTTTAGGCTTGCACCCAGTGGAACCATGTCGGAATGGCATCAGATATTGCCGGAGGGGCTGCGCCTCACGACAGCGTCTCATGTTGTTGCAGTGCCTTATGAGCTTCGTGAAGCCCACACTTAAATGCAGGAGTTCTTTCGCCAGGATGCCCCTGCACGGATTTGATCTAGCAGCGAACACAGCTTTAATCTGTACATTGGTCTAGACGACCATGGACTGTGCAACCTCTGCGACGTAATCACTGTGAGCCTTTCGCTCAACACATCAATTTCAGAGGATGTTGCCAACAAAACTTATGCAGGCACATAAGACTGGAGCAAGACATGCGCCAGAAGACTGCAAAGGCTTGCCATCACGTAGTGTGTTGCGACAAAGCCGCTGCTGACTCTCGGCCGACGCAGCCACGAGGCGAATGCTTGGCCGATGAGTGGTGAGCCTATCAGAGCACATGTCAGCGTTTGCTGCATCTTCAGCGCTGCCTGGGTCTCCGCAGTCCCCAGGGCCGCTCCACACTGGTCTCTCACGGCATTTGTTAACATTGCTCTCATGGCAGACTCGATAGAAATTCCCGGAAGCCCCAAGACGAGCGCCGCTGGCAGGTGCCACCAACGATGCGTTAGCCCTCGCAAAAAAAGGTCGGCTGCACTGAAGAGAGTGCCGGCAAGCACAATGCTTCGAGCTGAAAAATGCTTCAAAGCCTTTCGAAGTAGACTACTACCGACAAAAACACAAAAGCCCCAAAAGCTGAGAAGCTTGGACATCTGGGTGTGCCCCCAGCCAAGTCGTAGCTCCATGAAGGTGTGCAAGTAAGCATCCACACACCGTGTCACGGATTGGATCGAATACATCATGGCCAGCCGGGCCACATTAGAGCCCTGCCGAAACAGGAGCGTTGCCGATCCAAGCGGATTCAGCTTGCGAAGCTCGATGGCTCTGCGGCGGCCACCAGAAGTTTGCTGGGGCGGGGGCGGGGGCCTTAGGGTCTCTGGCACTCGGAGCAAAAGGGCACCCAAAACCAGGCCGCTCACCGCACCAGAAACCCAGAAGGGCGCCTGCGCTCCCAGGCTCCTCCGAAGAGGAAGCGACAGCAAGGGAGCCAAGACGACGGCGAGGCCGACGTAGGACTGGCCGGCAGCGAGGGCCTCCGCCAACGCCTTCGGTTGGTTTTCGAGCAAGTCAAACTGAGCAGAGCTGCTGACGGTGAGAAATGCCGTGTTTGTGACCGATGAGAAAGCCTTCATGAAAGCGATGAGAGGCTTGGCAGTGAGAGTTCGAGGTACCAGCGCCCCAAGCAGAGACCAGCCACAGAGTTCAAAAGGTCCGGTGAGCAGAAGCAAAGGTCGCCGTCCGTAGGCATCTGCAAGAGCACACACCGCAGGCATGGCCAACAAGTCCAAGAGTGATTCTGCGGCTCTCTGATACATTGACCACTGGGTGAAACTGTGCGCATCCCACTCACACACTTCCAGAAGAAGCGTAGAAACATCGGAGTGAATAAGCGAATTGCAGAAGGTCTGAAGGGCTGCACTCGCCTGCAGCATCAGCAGCATCTGCTTCTGGCTCTCATTGTTGGCGAAGTTCTTCGCTTTGCATGCATTTTTGTGCTCTGCATCACTGGCCACTAGCTCAGCATGAAAACCTTGGTGATGGTTTGCCGACTCCGTCGCGAAACCGATGAGCCGAGTACAGTCGAAGACTTCAGGAGACTATCGAATTCTAGAGAACCACACGAACTTGTTGAGTGTTCGACCTCGCATGTGGACAGTGCATATGGGTCTCAAAAGATGCTTCACCCGGAAACGCTGATGTTCTTGTTTCTAGTTGGACGCGAATCTCTCTGATCCAAGGAGAACCCACTACAATGCGCCCGCCCGACCTGGAATCTACCAACCCCACTAAAACAATCGCAGCAGAATTTTAATTGGGTCCATTGGCTGCAGATGCTGCAGCAACTGTCGCTCTGCGACACTCCGACTAGCTCCTCGTTGACATTGAAGCTTCGCGGGCACGTCTGCTTTGGCTGCTTAGGTTCAGCAGTCAAGAGCGGTGCCATTCACCGCCTGCCGCGAGATCTGCAAGGAAGCAAGTCTGGAGTTACCACGAGTCCTTACAGCTCCCGTGTCCAGAGATCGCTGGTACGAACCTTCTTTTACTCTGCTTGCCATGTGAGTGTGAGGTTCTCGTGCACTTGCAAAACGAGCAGTAAACTCGCTACTCTTCGCTTTGAGCCAGAAACCTCCAAAATCATTCGGATTTGCAGCACTTTGTCTAGCAGTCCAGCGCAGGAACGATTGTCAAAGGCCACTGGTGAAATCAAAAACCAACATCCGTGCCTCCGCCTCCAAGTGTGCAGCCTCGTTGCGCGCGATGACCTTGCATATCCAGATGCCATGCGATGGTCGACAACCCGCTAGTGTTCAGACGATGCAAGTTCTCATGCAGCATGCACTGTGCAGGCTTGCCCTGCGCCGCGACTCTTCTTCATCAGCGCGTTGTTCGCGCAATGCAGCCTCCTTCTGCACCAGCTCCTCCAAGTATGCTGAAATTCCACACCATCGGTTCGAGCTTGTCTGTCAAGGCTTGGCTGCACTGCTTTGAGACGGGAGCACACACAACACCATTCGCCGTTTAAAGAGTCCTGCTTTTCTCGTGCTTTTTGCTCGTCTTTCTCCTCCTCGAGCCTCGCCTGTTGTTCCTGCTCTTCGCGCATGAGATCTTCCTCGGACCTGCCAAACTGACTTGGAACACATTAGCTTGACATGTCTCAGAACGGCCTCAAATAGTTGAAAAACTGACCCTTGGACTCCATGTGAATACGAACGGCCTCGACAAGACGAACGTTGATGTCAAAACAAGGCGGGTGTCAATCCGTCCAACCTGGAAAGCCTCTTCCTCGCTGCAGTTGTCCACATCAATGGGCAACATCTCAGAGATCAGAGGTGCTTGCACGGCCATTGTCTCCTAGCTTCTCAAGACCAACTCACCCTGGTCCAAGCTACCAACTGACAGTCCACATTGCTCCAGAAAGAACTCTGCAGTACTCGGAGTTCCGTCCTGTTGCATCACCGGGGTGCAGTGTCTACAGCTGCAGCAGCCAGGAATAACGAACACCAGATCCTCTGCAAGGTTCGCAGTGCGATATTCTGCCGTTTCCCGGTTGAAGTCCTGCGTTGACAAGATCAACGCTCAAACCCGGTGCAGGACATCTTTCAACCCATTGCACAATCCTCTTCGGAAGCTGGGCCTTTGGCATCACCGTCGAATATCCTTGCCTCGGTCCATAGACGTGCAGCCTTTCTTTCAGTCTACACCTATGAGAGCGACGAGAAAGGAAGCATTGTCTTCTGAGAGGGTTACTTTGCATCGTAGCTCTGAAGATCGTATCAGAACGCCATATTCTGGAACCTCGGCAGGTTACCGAAGTTGCATGCACACCAACGAGAGTAACACGCGTAAGGTTGGAACCACACCTTCTGCGACTTTAAATTTGGGCCTCATGATTTCTTTGAGGAGGATGCCACGAAGTCAACTCTGCTCTGCCAAGGAAGTTCTATTTCAGCTATCCAAGAGTCACGAATGCTGGCTGATGCGAAACAAGATGCCTCTCGGCTTCTTCGTCCTCATCCTCCTCTTTGGGCGCAGACTCCGCGTTTTCCTTCAACATCTAGTGTTCACGAACAGCTCCAACAAAAAAATATCATCAGGTAAGTGGATGTGCCCTTGAGAGGCCAACAGCGACTGCTGTTAGGCTGCAAAGAAGGGCCACGAAAAGGGGACCACAAAAAGGCCCTCGTGTTGTGGCGACATGGCCAAGACCTATCGGAGTAGAGACTGCTTTGATTCGCTCGCTGCCGCTTCAAGCAAGAACTCTGATGTGTTCGTGTGTGACACATCCAGCCAGCTGCAAAATCGTCTGCCGAAGTCTCCTTGTCTAGCAACTTCGGCAATGTCGTCACCGCGAGATGTCGAGATGTACTCATCCTTTAGTACCTAAGAGGAACCACTCATGGGAGCAAATCCTCGCATCGCCAGGTCGAAGCCAGCGCCAACAACGCTACTCGTCATCACCGAGGCAAAGCGAATGACATAGCATTCTATCATTGAAGCACCTTCATCTGATGGAGATGCTCTTCTCCACGAAACCGGACCAAAGCCGACTCAAGCCTGAATACAAAGGCATCATGACCCTCGGTTCAAAAGCCGTTCAAGCCAAGCTAGGATACCGTGGCTTCTCAGAGCAGGTGCTTTACCCTCGCAGCGACGACTCGTTGCGGCAACAAGCTCTGACTTCATGGGCAGTCCGTCCGGCCTCTTCCTCCTCTTCTTCTTCCTCCACATCCTCATCGCCATCGTCAGCTTCCTGTGTACAGGCGCAAATGTCTACACATGATCCCTGATTCGATAGCTTCTGCATTCTAGCAAAACAAAGATGGCGATGATGATCATCATCATCATGGTGGTGATGGTGGTGATGGTGATGATGGTGATAGTGGTGATAGTGGTGATGATGGTGATGATGGTGATGATGGTGATGATGGTGATGATGGTGATGATGGTGATGATGGTGCTGGTGGTAACGCAACTGACAAGTGCTAAAATTATATGTAATGCTACCATGTATGCCAGACAAAAAATGGCATACAAAAAAAGACATGAGTCGTAATGGGTGAGGGTCCTGCGTTGCTACATCAAACAGCAGGAATGATGCAGCACGAAATAAGATGAAGGTGAAAATGCCAGAGGTGATCCATGAGCGAGTTGGGGAGCTCCGATAAGATTGAAGTCTCTTCCCTGGAACTGTGACTCATGCATGGATCACGAGGGTCTGAATAATTTCCGTCTTGGCCGCATGGCAGCACGTGTGGGATTTGTATGCATGTAGGTGGGTGTTTGATGCATTCGGCACGGACATGAAGGGCACGGCAGAATCTAGAGCTCATGAACTACAAGCCTGTGGCAAATTCATGGGAAGTGTGAAAACTTTGAGATTTCCTACGTTTATGACCAATCCGAGATAGCTCGATGATGCGATGGGCATCTGATATGCTCGCACTGCATGGCTGATTGGAGATGTGCGTAACCCACCTCGACTGCCTCTTCCTCCTCCTCTTCGCCCTCTTTGACTTGCTCCAGAAAGAGCGCCTCAGCTCCACCATGGGCATGCAAGCAAATCCCATGCCACCACATTGAATCATGGGAGGCATCTTTCGAAGCACTCATTCCGCCTCAGCTTCAGCATACGTCGTTGGGTAGCCTTCAAGAACATAGCCGCGGTAGCGACCTGTAGTTTGACAGAGATAGGAGAGGAACCTCTCAAGATGCTGTCAAGGAATCGGACACACGTTCGACAGGAGGCGGCTTTGCACCAACTTGGTCCTGCAATCTGACTCTAATTGAAAAGATGTACAGGCTGCCATCATGCACAAGCCGAAACATCTCAGGGAGAAGGACATCATCCCATTCTTGATAACCACTCTCCACCCTTCTGCACTCTGCGATACCAGAAGCAGTTTTGCAATACCTATTCAGGTGCAGACTCTGCCTTATCTGCAGTGGAAGCTTCTTGCTTGGATCGGCCGCAAGCTTCTGCACCTAATCAGCGAAAACACAAAGGGCCCAATCTCACCAAATTTTGAAATCACGGACGCTGGCCTTTCTCCGAAGCTTGCGGGCTGCTTTGGTTGGTGCCGCGCATGCGTCGTCAATGATCTGCTGGTACGTGAGATGCGGCGGCTCCTCGCAACAAAATGCACTGATCCTGAAAGCCTGAAAGCTTCATACCTGAGCCACAGGTCCGTTAACTGGTCTTGCCAGTATGCACACATTTCTGCACTGTGCACTGCTCGAGTGCCCTTCCTCGTGCAAATAGTGCTTGGCAACGCGGGCCTGTGCTCTGCGCTGTCTCAGCGTCTCACGGTATCACCCTTCACAAATGATCCTCCCCTGGCAAAGGTATCTTGGAGTTAACCACAGTCGCTCTCAGTTCCGCTCGCAAAGGCGCTCAGCCCCGCATCCAGGTGGGCCAACAACAACCTGTGATCGAAAGAGCGAGTTCCCTTTCAAGGAGTTTGAGAAAGGGACAAGAGTGCTTCTGATTTCGCTCTGACTGGCGGACCATCTTGATTGGTCGCAGGTTTCGCCACTTGCAGAACTCTGCAGCCACCTTGTCTGCACCGAGTTAATGACTTGAAGCTTGAGCTGATCGACGGCCTTCTCTATATTGGCGATCATCCCGTCGCGGCACCACCAACCAAAAGTGGGGTCCTCCATCCAACTGGGCAGTCGAAAAGTTTCAAGCAATGGAAAAGCCTGAACTTTGCAACTGCTCTCCAGCCAAGCAAGCTGAAACAGCCTTGAGAGGAGCAGAAGGCTCGAGAATTAGATCGAGCGACATGACCTGTCAGGCAGGCTGAAGGGGAAATCCAAGCCACAAAGCAAACAAAACGATATAAACACCACGAACTTCTAGGGGGCCTCTTTGAATTCGGAATCGACATCTTCTGCTGGACAAACCGGCCTCCAGCAATGACTATTGCAAGGCATGCCGACGGAAAGGCTCTGAGGCAGACACACATCTCGACTGTGTGACATCTGGGAGATGATTCCCTGCGGCCGCATGTCGCATGTCAGATTTCGACGCTGCACAATCCAAACTTCAATCACGCAACTCGGCCTGAATGATTCCTGCTTGCGTCAGTCGCGAATGGTCGACGGCCTGGAGATCAGACTGATTCATTCCAGCATCTCTGAACACATTTCAGTGATGTGTATTGCAATCCGCAATAATGTTGAGCCGGCAAGCCTTCATGTCTTTTTGCGGTTTCCCACGTTCTCTTCGTAGTGAGGCCCCGTATGCGGTTTTGGGGACCTACTCCTCCCTCGAAAAGTCGGCCACCATTTACTCTTGAGGCTGTGGGATCGGGTCCAACATTTTGTTGTACTACAGCAACAGCACTGCTTAAGAAATCATTGGTTTAAGAAATTGAGCCCCTCGGACAGCCGTGCGATAAAACATACAAGACATGCGCACATTCAACATAAGAAATCCAGGGTACCCTGGACTCGGCGTGCCAATTTCTTGTTTTGCTCTTTCTCATGTTGTCTTCGCTGGTGTTGTTCGCGCAAATAAACCAAGAAATTCAGGGAGTAGATTTCGTATTTCCAAAAGCTCGGCGCCAAACCCTTACAAAGGAAACCAAGAAATGAGCACAGGGGAATTCCGAGCCCTCGCACTTTCCATTCCAGCTCATGTGCTTATCCGCTCGGGCATGGCATCCTTCAAACACCCTGAACACCATCATGTCGATCCCATTTTTTCGCAGCTTGTAACCAGCCCTTACCAAAACCTACCAAGATAAGAAATCGAGCCCCTCAATTTCGTAAAATTAAGAAATCGAGCCCCTCAATTTCTTATTTTGGTGTTTTTTCCTGTATGGTAAAGCTTAATTTAAGCCCTTATTAAGTCCTTACAAAGCCTCGAAAGCCCTCCAAAGCTGCTGTTAAGGCTCTTTTGAGCCCTTATTAGGCAAGCCCAGAACCCACCAAAATGAGAAATTGAGGGGCTCGATTTCTTAAATTTAAGAAATTGAGGGTCTCGATTTCTTGTTTTGGTGGGTTCTGGGCGTGCCTAATCAGGGCTCAAAAGGCCTTAATAAGGCCTTCATGGCAGCTTTGGAGGGCATTACTTAGAGGCTTTGTAAGGGCTTCAATTAAGCTTTGCCAGAAAAGGAAAAAACCACCAAAATGAGAAATTGAGGGGCTCGATGTCTTAAGTTTAGGAATTGAGGGGCTCGATTTCATATTCTGGTGGGTTCTGGTAAGGGCTGACTACAAGCTGGATAAAAAACGGATGAATATGGTGGCGTTTCAGGAGTCTGAAGGCTGCTGAGTCCGAGTGTAGAAGCACGCCTGCTGGAATGGGATGCCTCGGGCGTTGAAAATTTATGTATTCTCATTTCTTGAAACTGTCTTTATTTGCTGCCGATTGAAATTAAGAAATTTGGGTTAAGAAATACAGGGTACCCTCAAATCCCGAAACGTTTTTCTTGCTAAAAAAAGGTGCACTTCAAAAACAAGAAATCGACCCCCCCTCACGAACAATTAACTGTTTCTCAACCGGCGCTGTCGCTGTAGGAAATGTTTCAAAACCAGACACCACAGTTCTTTATACTTTACGGGTGTATGGCCCCCCCCCACACCGCTCACTCATCTCAGGCTCAAAAACGAAAGGAAGGACAAGATTGGTCGAAGATGCTAACCCCGAAATCGCGGTAGTTATCATACCCGAACTTTCAAAACGGTGTGACCCCGAAAACAGCATGATGGCTTGCAAACCCAAAGTTATCGACGAAAAGTGTGAGCACCCTAAGCAACGAAATGTTGGACGCAAAGCCCAATAAGTCTCCAAAACCACAAGATTTACAGGGCCTCACTACGAAGCGAAGGTGGAAGGCACACCTGCAATGTCAACCCGCACGAAGACCGGCTCCCAAAGTCCCAAACCCTAAAATGATGGGTAGCAAAACGAAGTCCCAAGATTAATTGCTTGTGCCAAGGACTGGTTCCCAAAGAACCTGGACCTAGCCGGAAATGATGAATGGCCAAGGCGACAGCGGAAAAAGGTGCGCGAGTGGTTCGGAACACACTACATGTTTCAAGAAGCGGCAGGACCCCAAGCACCCATCCGAATTGGAGATGTTGGACCCACCCAACACCTCTAAGGGAAACGAAAAACTGAAAGGACGTACGCGATGGCCAACCGAACTTAACAAAAGAAGTTCGTTGTTCGCCAAACCCGAACCTTAAAAAACAGTGTTACCCCGAAAACAGCATGATGGCTTGCAAACCCAAAGTTCTCGACGAAAAGTGTGAGCACCCTAAGCAACGACATGTTGGACACAAAGCCCAATAAGTCTCCAAAACCACAAGATTTAGGGCCTCACTACGAAGCGAAGGTGGAAGGCACACCTGCAATGTCAACCCGCACGAAGACCGGCTCCCAAAGTCCCAAACCCTAAAATGATGGGTAGCAAAACGAAGTCCCAAAATTAATTGCTTGTTCCAAGGACTGGTTCCCAAAGAACCTGGACCTAACAGGAAATGATGAATGGCCAAGCCGACATCGGAAAAAGGTGCACGAGTGGTTCGGAACACACTACATGTTTCAAGAAGCGGCAGGACCCCAAGCACCCATCCGAATTGGAGATGTTGGACCCACCCAACACCTCTAAGGGAAACGAAAAACTGAAAGGACGTACGCGATGGCCAACCCAACTTAACAAAAGAAGTTCGTTGTTCGCCAAACCCGAAATTTCAAAACGGTGTGACCCCGAAAACAGCACGATGGCTTGCAAACCCAAAGTTATCGACGAAAAGTGTGAGCACCCTAAGCAACGAAATGTTGGACCCAAAGCCCAATAGGTCTCCAAAACCACAAGATTTACAGGGCCTCACTACGAAGCGAAGGTGGAAGGCACACCTGCAATGTCAACCCGCACGATGACCGGCTCCCAAAGTCCCAAACCCTAAAATGATGGGTAGCAAAACGAAGTCCCAAAATTAATTGCTGTTCGAAGGACTGGTTCCCAAAGAACCTGGAACTAGCCGGAAATGATGAATGGCCAAGCCGACATCGGAAAAAGGTGCGCGAGTGGTTCGGAACACACTACATGTTTCAAGAAGCGGCAAGACCCCAAGCACCCATCCGAACTGGAGATGTTGGACCCACCCAAAACCTGCAAGGGAAACGAAAAACTAACGAAAAGTACACGATGCGTGCAGATGCTAACCCCGAAGAAAGAGAACAGTGGTGGCCAACTGAACTTATTCGCCAAACCGGAAACTTAAAAACAGTGTGACCCCGAAAACAGCATGATGGCTTGCAAACCCAAAGATGTCAACAACCAATGTTGGACCCAAGCCTCAATAGGTCTACAAAACCACAAGATTTACAGGGCCTCACTACGAAGCGAAGGCTGCGATGTCAACCCGCACAATGACCTGCTCCCAAAGTCCCAAACCCTAAAATGATGGGTAGCAAAACGAAGTCCCAAAATTAATTGCTTGTTCCAAGGACTGGTTCCCAAAGAACCTGGACCTAGCCGAAAATGATGAATGGCCAAGCCGACATCGGAAAAAGGTGCACGAGTGGTTCGGAACACACTACATTTTTCAAGAAGGGGCAGGACCCCAAGCACCCATCCGAATTGGAGATGTTGGACCCACCCAAAACCTTTAAGGGAAACGAAAAACTGCAAGGAAGTACGCGATGGGTGCAGATGTTTACCCCGAAAAAACAGAAGAGTGATGACCAACCGAATTGAACAAAAGAAGTTCGTTGACGCCAAACCCGAACCTTAAAAAACAGTGTTACCCCGAAAACAGTATGATGGCATGCAAACCCTAAGTAAAAGACGAGAAGTGGTGGTCGTCTCGCCGTCGTCATCGTCGCATAGTAGCCGTGCACATCGTAATAGTCGTGGCCGACGTCACAGTCATTGTCTCAGTCATACTCGTAATCGTAGTAGTAGTAGCAGTAGTAGTAGTAGTAGTAGCAGCAGTAGCAGCAGCAGCAGCAGTAGCAGTAGCAGCAGCAGCAGCAGCAGCAGGAGCAGTAGCAGTAGCAGTAGCAGTAGCAGTAGCAGTAGCAGTAGCAGTAGCAGTAGCAGTAGCAGTAGCAGTAGCAGTAGCAGTAGCAGTAGCAGTAGCAGTAGCAGTAGCAGTAGGAGTAGTAGCAGTAGTAGTAGTGGCAGTAGCAGTCGCAGTCCCAGTCGCAGTCGCAGTGGCAGTGGCAGTAGCGGTAGCAGTAGCAGCAGTCGGACCAGCAACAGCCGTCGTCGTGACCTCGTAGCAGTCGCCTTCGTCGGTCGTCGATCGTCGTAGACATCACCAGCTTCAGCAGCAGGAACCGCTTCACGGGCTGCGCCAGAAGAAGCCACCAAAATTGCTCCCGAGCTCCAAAACGGTCGAAATGTGAGAAGGAAGGAAGACGTTTCAAGATAAGCCCATTCGAAAACCTCGTCTTGTCTCAGAGCCGAACCAGCAGGTACGAGCCCAGAGATGCGTCGGAGACGACCACGCGAACCAGCCGAGCAACCTTGCATCTGTCCATGAAAAACCTCTGTAAACACTAGCACGCAAGTGCCCCGTAAGTCGGGCACGTCCCGCACGTGTACACAAGGAATGTAGTTGTCTCCTGCGAAAGAAACAGGAAGCAAAAACACTCGTTGTGTCATTTGTGTCCCTTCACAAGAGACCTGGTGCAATGATCTTGTGCACGGGCTGCGTCAACCAGGCCTTGCAGCCGTTCAAACATTTACGCCTCGAGAGCCTTCTAAGGATTGTCAACAATTCATCGGATCAGATCCTATCATGCCAAGCCGTTTACAGATGCCAAGCCGTTTTCACGTCGGTTTCTTACGATGACAGCCCCACTCATTCTCAGCGGAGACCTGCAAAAATGCCATGCTGGAGTTCAAGGCGACTCTCAGAGCGCTTTCTGAACCTCAAGAGTGCCTGAAATTTCAGCATCTTCCGACTTCAGTTGATCCCGTCGGGACTTTGTTCGCTCGTTTCAGTGCCTCTCGCTTGTTCTCATTGTTTGTTGCCCTTGAAGATCGTCAGTTCCGAAGTAATGTCCGAGTCCCTGCAAACAGCGGCTTGCGTCTCCGTGCTAATTCTTCTGCAGAGGCACGAGACGCCGAGACGCGGCAAACCGGAGAGACAAACATGCAAGAGCTACAGTGCCACACAGCTGCGACGAGCTACACGCAAATACAGCAAACAAGAATTTTCGTTTGGCCTTGACTAGAACCTCGCTCACGTCTCAGAATCCGGCAGCTTTGAACAGTTCGTTGAAAACGGTTTCACCTCACCAACGCCGGTCTGGCCAAGGTTCAGACTAACCGGCGCCTGGAACCAAGGCAAAGGCCGTTTCCATACAAGATTCCAGCACCAATGACGTGTGGTCGAAGCTTGGCTTTGGAACCTGGCTGTTGAGCAGAGGGCATGACATTCTACCTCCTTTCTTCTCCAAGATCCATCTTAACACTGCGAGAAGCGAAGCTCAGGCAAGCCATGCTGGTTTGGCTCAGTGAAAGCACCAACGTCTCCAAGTACTTCCAAGCCTGCACGACTGCTTGCGAGATCCGAGCGAGTTTGGAACGAGACTCTCGCCTCGTAGGCAGCCGTAGGCACCCGCCGCTCCAGGTCTGCATCTGTCAGCCTGAATCTTTGAGCAATCTGCGGTTGAGGCGAATCAAGCTCAAGATACGCGTATGGAAACGCTGAGAAGCTCTTTTGGACGCTTCTTGACTTCCACTTCCTGCGAGTTCCACTTGAACCAACCAATTCAGTTGGACGATTGCCCACACTGCCTCTACTTCGGCATCCACACCTTCCTCTTCATCTTCGGGACCTGCACGAACAAACATTACTGCAATATCTGCAAGCATAGCCTTCTCGATCCATCAATTCCCAGGCAGGTGCTCGCCAAAGGAACATACTGTTTTCGAGTGTTTGCCCATGCCTTGGCAGGCATTCATTGGTTGGAAGACAGTTAGTGTTACCAAGACTCTCTTTGCTCGCCTGGGCTCCGAACCATTACAGATGAGATCAGCACAAAAGTTGTCTCATGGCCCAGCTCAGCAACCTGATAAGCAACTGCAGTGACAGGCGCACATAACAGCACATCAAGAGTGCCTTCAGCTCCTTGATCAGAGTCTCCACCTGCACCAAGGAAGTCTGCCCGGGTCGCACTGCCAGCTGTCCAGCACCACTCGGGGCCATACATCGTTGAGATCGGCACTGTGCAGATCATATACGATCAAAGAGCACCTTCAACAAGTCTTGCACCCTAGAGCATGAAGTCTGACACAGCTGACATAGGCACGCTGCTCACAGGGGCCGGCAATGCCGATGATAAGCGATGCAAGCAAGACAGTGGCAGAACCGTTGTTTCAGGCATTCGATCAGAACTTGACCCCGCCGTTTGCCGGTGTGAAGGCTGCTGAGAAGCAGAGTATGTCTGGCTCAAGGAACCTTTCGGAGCACATAGCGCAGCACTGCTGGACGAGGCACGAAAGAATGTCCGAGAGGTACTTTTGCTTGTCTGTGCGATCGACGACTCTTTTCACCTGAGTGACAATCGCTTGGCACATCACTGAAATGTGGTTGGTCTGTGGCGCGGACTCCTAATGAATCAAGAAGATCGCCGTCCGCCTGCTCGGTTGTCACAGTCACTCATCTTTTTGCGCTGGTTTGACCGACCCACCTGATGAGAGCGAACTTCCGCCGTGGAACCTTGGGTCAAGCTGCCCAGGATCCGGTTTTCCTTGCACGTTAGATTCGTCCGGCAATCAACCATGAGCAGTTCGTATTTCACCATGGCTCCTGATCCAGAACTTTGCGCAAGTCGGCGCAAAGAGCACGGCCTTACAACGGCCGTGAATCCGCGACCTCGTGAGGCAATTCCTCGTCGTCCTGCTGGGCCTCTGACCGACATAGCTGTCAACCTAAGATTTCAAACTGTTCTAGTCGGATGCACGGACAATCTCTCGCATGACATATTATGGCAAGCCGCATTGTTTATGAAAACTCTCATCGGCAGCAATGAGCCTCAATCGAGAAAAGGGTCAGTTCCGTCCGTTGGGGTCCGTGACAACCCGCACGCCATTGCCTGGCCTTGAATCTCGGAGCCGATGGCACTGGGCTCAAGCCGGCCACCCGGACTATCGACAGTGCAGTTGTGCTGTGACAGTTTACAGTCTTTTGCAGAAAGCCTTCGTCAAGGATAGCGTATCGACGGATAGCAAGCACATGATTCTGGTTGGGTTGCATATTACACTGAAATACTTCAGATTCCGAGCCTCGAAGCAAAAGGATAATCGAGCTCGCAGCACGATGCAAGCCGCCTTGAGAAATCTGGTGCGTGTGAACATGTCCGGCTTGATGTGGGCATGCTGCGATGCTGTAAAGGCGCGCACTCCGGCTGTTACTGACCCTGACGACTTCTCCCCGTGCCCGATCACACGTCGGAAAACTTCGCTTATCCAAGCGTGTTTGCCAAGAGAAAGCGGCTACCAGGAAAATGCCGACTCAGCGACAGCCCAACCGTATCCACCCAATGCCGGATGTTCAGGTTCACAAAATGTGAAAAGCGCTGGAGAATCGATGCGGACCGCCAAGCATGTGACAATTCACAGCAGCTGCAAGAGGATGAGTGGTGGAAAAGAATCTACCGACGAATCTCAAAAATCTGCCTCCCCGTTACCGAAAAAGAAAGCATTGCACACAAATTCAAAAATAAATTTTCCGATCGGCACAGGAAACTATGGGAAACTTGAATTTCGAGCCCGAAAACCCAAATACAATCGTTTGAAAAAGGAACGGGTGGAAAACTTGCTGAATCTGGACATCCTCGCCGGAAAGAAGCTGGAAATGCTCGAGTTGGCAATGTCCGCGACGTGTCATGCGGATGGCGATGACGACTGATTCGGCTCGATTCGAAAATCAAACGTCTTGTTATTTTAAAATATTTTTGCTCCAAAATGCCAGTATCGCTGTGGTTCTCTTGTAATTTGAGCCTACACTTGTTGAAATTTCAGCGATAATCCATGTCAGTATGGATACCAAGATCAAGAGAAAGAACAAAATCAATATCAATCGCAAGATTCAAAATCAACACCGATGTCAACAACACAATCATATCACACCACCTCTCGGCCTTGAAGCTTTTGAAGGTTTGTATCCGGAATGAAGCTTTGCGTCGGCACGACAAGGTTTGTCTCGGTCTACATTCACACCGCACATGACACTGCTCCAAGCAAAGCAACAGCGTCGATTCGACACGGAACTGGCTCCATAGACTTTCTCACGTAGATGTAATAATGGAGCCGTAAATGGCCGAGCTTGCATTCTTTGGTCCATCGCATCAAGCTGTGCAAGCCACAGCTGTCATCATACTTCCGAGGCTCAACCAGGCCCCAAACCTCAAACCCCGAAAGACAAACGAAACCCTTACCCAACCCTAAACCCAAAGCCCTTGAACACGCGGCTGTGCTTAATGCATGGCGCAGCTATGCGATGGCTGGTGGTAGACTGTCTGGCTTCTTCTCGTGTTTGGAACTTGACATATTTACTTTCGGTTTCAACATTGATCACTGCCGTACCCTGCCGTCTGCTTTTGTTTGGTCAAAAGCACGTAGGGGTTCACAACAACAAAAGCACCCGACTTCTGTAAAAGCTGCATCTTTCTGAACCCACAGTGCAAAGACTCTCCGTTCTAGCTAGTGCGGCGATACTGGAAAGGCACGTCAAAATTTTTCGTGGAACTATGCGGCTTTGGGCCACCGGTTCCAACCGAAATCAATGACACTTTTACAATGTCGATGCCTAAAACAAATCAAAGTCAAATTCAAGTCGTCAAAACCAATGTTCAAGTCCAAACCAGTCGAATCACCGAACGAAACCAGTCAGCCAATCAAACAATCAATTAAGCGGTAAGTTGCAATCCATCAATGTCACAAGCCACTTCATCCCTCCTTTCATTTCTCTCTTCTGTCTTCTTCGTTTCGAAAGGCGGATTCATTCGGTGGCAGTTGATTAAATCTCTTCATGGACAAGGACGTGGTCGATGACTGCAAGTCCTCCATCGAAAGAATTGGGTGTTGCGGTGGGCTGGAATCAACCTTGCTGCAAGTGATCAGTTTGGAGCGGAGGCATTTTTAACTGAGAACAAACACGGAGGAAACTCAATCCGACATTTGTGGATCTGCTCGTGCGACCAATGGCACTTTTTTTTTGGACCTCCAGCCACCATACAGCGATCAGACACGATCACACTTCCCGACCACAAACTGGCATGTCTCAAGTCAGAGGAGGACTTGACCTCTTCCAACGTGTTTTGGACCTGTCCGACCACAGGGTCTCTGCCCAGAATACTTCGAGGGCTCTTGCACAAAGCCAAACACCATTCACTGATGCATATGGTTCTGCTGTTTCTGCAAGCGTGCAAAGCGGTTGTCGCAGAAGACTGTGCGATTCGGAGAGGCTGGTCCCCCCCGGGGTTTAACCCAGGTTTGAACCTGGGTTTGAACCTGGGTTCCCTCCCCCCGGGGGGGGGGGAACAACAACAACAACCCAGGGAACCCAGGTTTGAAACCTGGGTTTAACCTGGGTTTTAACCTGGGTTTTAACCTGGGTTAAACCTGGGTTCGAGCCTGGGTTCAACCCCGGGTTAAACCCAGGTTTAAACCCAGGTTATAACCCAGGTTTGAACCAGGTTTGAAACCCAGGTTCTAACCCAGGTTTGGAACCCGGGTTTAATGAACCCAGGTTTAACCCAGGTTAAAACCCAGGTTCAAACCCAGGTTAAACCCAGGTTCCAAACCCAGGTTTGAAACCCAGGTTCTAACCCAGATTTGGAACCCGGGTTTAAAAGCCCAGGTTTAAACCCAGGTTATAACCCAGGTTTGAACCCAGGTTTGAAAGCCAGGTTCTAACCCAGGTTTGGAACCCAAGTTTAAAGCACCCAGGTTTAACCCAGGCTAAAACCCAGGTTCAAACCCAGGTTAAACCCAGGAGGGCTTCAAGGCAGGCCTAGGATTGGTTTGAAGAAAGGCTTAAAGGAGGCCTGAGGAAGAGACCTGAAGGAGGACCTTCTTCGACACGAAAGGAGACGCGCACACGAAATCGCTTAAGGGCGTTAAAAGCGAATAAAACAGAAGCAGAAACATAAATATTCAGAGACACACAAAGGCCGCATAAAATCGTTCAGCGGGGCCCGCTCTTAAAAGCTCAATGGGGGGGGGGGCTGCGCCCCCCCCAGCCCCCCCGCTTTTTGTAAATTGCAAACTCCCCGCGCCTTTGACACCGCCTAAACCGTAAACCTTCAACTCCAAACCCAAACCGTACAAAGCGAAAAATTAACAAAAAGAACGTGAACAGACGCCTTCTTTCAACACAAAGGCAGATGCCACACGAACCGCCTAAGAGGGTTCAAAAGCGAAGAAAATAAATGCCCACGAAATCGCTTTGGGGAGCTTAAACGCGAATAAAACAGAATCGAAGACATGAAAATGGGGGGGCTGCGCCCCCAACCCCCCGCTTTTTGTAAATTGCAATCCCCGCGCCTTTGACGCCGCCTAAACCGTAAAACCTCTGCAAACCCAAACCGTAGAAAGCGAAAAATCAACAAAAAGAACGTGAACAGACGCCTTCTTCAACACAAAAGCAGATACCACACGAAATCGCTTAAGGGGTTTAAGCGAATAAAATAAATGCAGAAACATGAAAACAGAGACACAAAAGCCGCATAAAATCGTTCAGCGCGGCCCACTCTTAAAAGCTCAATGAGGGGAGACTAAGGACATTCCACAAAATCGCCTAAGGGTAAAGCGATGAAAATTTGGCGTGAGCGGGCCTCGTCGACTACGGCTGTAGCACTCGGTCCCTACAAACAACACAAACTCCCAAAACAACAGAAAACAGCGGTGAAACAGAGCGGCAGCCAAAAGAAGCTAGAGCTAGCTGCGGCGCACAGGCTTTGCCGGTGTTGGCCGTTCAGCACAAGCTACGCGGAGCCTCAGCGACCGATCCGCAACAACAAGAGGCCGTCGTCCAAGACCACCGGTGGAGCCCAAAATCGAAGCTCCAGCCGCCGTTCTACTTCCGTCGAACAACGGTCAGCCCCGGGATCTTGTTGCGTCACGATCGTGCACACAAGTCCACAATTCCACGTAGGTATCCACAGCAGCTGTCGCGATGCCAGGAAGGACTCTACGACGTATGTCGCTGGTCGACGGGCAATCAGCAGCTGGGAGCGGCATCCCCCACGGGGATTGTGGTATGCACAAGTTGGGATCTGTATGCGGTTAAGCGGACATGCCCAGCTTCCCAAGGTGGGACTCGCAAGGGCCAACCAGCCAAGGCCGCCAGAATCCCACAAAGGTCAGCTCCACGCGGAACAGTGGCATCTGCGAATGGCGCCAGAACGTGCCAAAAAGACACCACACGAATCCGTCTCCCAACTCTGTGGGCCTTGCAAGCATTCGCCGAGCGGTCGAATCCCGGAGAGGTTTGTGCCTCCAAGTACAAAGGGTGTAAAGCGAAGAAAATAAATGCCCACGAAATCGCTTTTGGGAAGCTTAAACGCAACAAAGCCCGTTTTTTGAAATTGTACTCTCCGCGCCGTCTACACCATAAATCTAATCTCAAAGCGAAAAATTTCGAATCTCATTTTCCGAGCAGCGGCAGTGACATGCATCGCCTGCTGGATCAATGGCCCCCATCGGCTTCAGAGCGTGCCCATTAAGGAAACTGGACCCAATCGGCCAGCCCCATTGTCCATGACTATCGACATACGTCGAGAGGATGGGCCCCACCCCC